ATATATATATATATATATATATATATATATATATAGAATATTACTATAAGTTATTACGAGATAAGTAATGTCTCGCACCAAGCGAGATGCGAATGCGGCGCAAATGCAAACGTACACGCTTCTAGTTGAGTGAAAACACCGCTGCATTTTCAAAATAAAATGGTCAATAATTCTGAAATTTGTGTATGATGTCTGCATATTAGTCTTTAAACGCCATAATAGTTTTTCATTAAAATCTTATTTTTAATTTAGAAGACATTAAAAACAGAAATTAAAAATAGCACGCTAATCTTAAGAAACACGCATAAAAAGTGTTTACTTTAGTTACAAATATCTCGGCTCTCAAATGGTCAATCCTCTTTTAACTACACGAGTAATGAATTAAGCAATATTTTGATATGTACACAGTGCAAGTTTCATAGATATTCTCATTAAAATTCATCCCACCGTACAACCTCTAAAGCGCAGTAACTTTTGATTCTGTCAAACTTTTCGTGTCACTTTAAAACAATGCGGATTAACTTGTAATTGTTTCGTTATTTTGAATTAGGGGCAGTACATCCTTAAGTGACGATACAAATAAGTTCTCTCTGACAATAACACTCGTGCAACTCACGGGATCCATTGACGAGCCACGAGGGCTTCTCTTTCCAATAGATGAAGATCAAGTACACGGGAATGCCGGACAATATCACGATCACACCTACGCCCACCTCCCACGGCGACACGTAGCACGGCACGGTGACCAAAAATGCGCAGATTATGAAGAAGATGATTGGCAGAGCTATCCAAACCTGAGGGGGACCGAACGGGAGCGAACGAAGGGTTAATGCGATCAAATAGAAGATCGGCGGTTATATCGTGGGCACTACGTGCGCGACTGGAATGAATTCGAGAATCGTGCAACGTACCTTTATGGGACGTTCGAGATCAGGCTTTTTGTAACGCAGCCACAGGAGACCAGATACGGAGAGTGTGGTAAATAGAGCCTCAACGAAGCTGACATAATTTATTAGTGCGTAGACATCCTCTATGATGAGGAGCATCAGGGTGATAATGCACTAGAAACGGAAATTATAGTTTAACGCCTGAAGTGGAGTCCGACCATAAGAATAGAAAAATTGCTCCGGGCGCGCGCACGTACCGGCGCTTTCAGCATCGATTGAGTATCAATTTACCGATTGATGCGTGTTACAATTCAAACAGATTCCACGAGAATTACGAGAGAGACGTCGAGTCGTCGCGAGGTGCACGCGAGGTGCGCAGAAATTCAATGTATCCGAGGGACTCGATTGCGCGGTCGGCTTCTTCCGGCGAATCAAAAAGATGGCTCGCGTTTTGAGCACGCGATTAATTACGCTTCTATTAGAAGATGAGATCTCGTTAACGACGAAATGACACAATGGTGTTCGCGGTGGCGTGACGCTACTTGAAGCGCGCGCGACCGGTCGCACTTTTTATCTCGCTCTCGCAGAAAGGAGCACGAAGATCGCGGGCGGACCGCTTCCGATCGTCAAAGAGACGGGGCTGGCGCGGCATGAAAGGGCCAATTTGTCGATTATAACCAGTCGCAGATGAAGACGCCGGGCTACAGAGAACGCGTCGCGGTGTGTCGACACGCCGATCCAGCTTCGTTTATTTCATTAAGACACTCTTAATGTAATTTCGTCCAGCCTGCTTTACGCGTCAATTAATTCCATTCCGGGCAATTGGACGGGCCGAACGATCGCACGCAAAGCGCAGATTGTGTGTCGCACCGACTGGGCTGCGTTCGAAAACGTCGCCCTGGTGCAAGTTTTGCCGAAAAGGAGTGGGAGTGCGTCGCTCGTGCTCGTCTGAATTGCCGAACGGTATAGTTTAATACAGGCTTTCAAGCCACTTTTAGGGCCATTTTTAGCAGTAAAAGAGTTCAGAATACGAGCCAATATGTTAAATTAACGCACGGGTATGTTAAAAATTTAATGCAAAAATTTGTTTAACGAGAATCGACTTTAAAGCAAGTAAAAAATGTTTTTTACTATGCAAGATAATTCGAAGGTGCTCGAATCATGTTGTACGTGTACGTGTACACAGAAAAAATTTCTTTGGATTTAATACAATTTCTTTAATTGAAACAAATCTGTCCTTTGGAATTGAGTGAACAAACGAATGTTTGATTCAATAAGCAGAATTTGTTTGGTTTTTCAAATAATATCTTTATATAAAATAACAATATCCATTGTACTTTTATCCAAACATTACAATGATTTTCACAAGCAATAAATTATTTTAAAGAAACAACATTATATGTATTAGAAAAATATTAAAGAATCTTTTTTTTTTGGTTTTAGTGGAATAATATTTAATATATAATGAAATACATTTTTTTATTCAAAACGAAATATTTTTTCTAAATAATTCTGTTTTTTTTATATCAAACAACATGACAGTGAAATTTCATTTTTAGCGAAACATTTTCATTCAAATAAACTGATATTGGATGTCAAATTATGTTGTTTATATTAAACAAACTGAAGTCAAAGAAGCACGTATACCGAATCCTAAGAAACCTTCTTCTCTGAATGTGCGAATGTCGCAGCGATTCGAATGCGGGCAAACAAATCCCTCGATAAATGCATTATCGTTGTTGGTTCAGTCTCCATACGTCGATTAAAGAGGTATCTGTCGAATGTATCGCGTGGCTCACTAACACGTCTCCTCATCGTTACGCTCGCCAGTCGAATGTATTGGAACAGACATATTTCGTACGGCGATAAACTGCTAATGAAATGGTCGTTCGTAGATTATTCGATTATCGATGACGATTAAATAAGATATAAAGTGATAAGAAGAGAGACACGTTCATCCGTTAAGATGCCCATTGGCCGCCTTCCCCTATCTGTTAGCGGGACGCCTGCAATCTCAGCGTTGCGAAATCAGTTACGCGTGAATTGCTCTCGGCGTTCATTTATTTAATTCGATCATTATCCGAGAAAGAGAAGGAAAGTCAGTTTGAAATGAGGTCGCCAGTGTTATTCGGAATTTATCCGAATGAAGATGACGAATATGAAAGGGAATCGATAGAAATATCTTTGCGGGAGTCATTACATGCTAAATATTCATATCCTCCTACAATAATTTAAATAGTATATCACTACGATAGCCGCGATCAAGCTCTTAAATGCCCGTTCTATCTCTTTTTGCTTAGTCACTTATAGAACCTGTGTAAATATCCGAAGATATACTATTTATATTTTATTTATTTTCGCGTCATCGTATTCTATATAGCAAGTTTTCACCAATAAACAGAATTTGTGTGCTGGCCAATAAATATTCAATTGGTATTGATTTTTTAAATATCTCTCAAAATTCGTCTCAAGAGCTAAATCAACCGTTTATATGATCTTTATTATTAACTTCGCTTTGCTTGGCTTTCTTGTAACTGTGCTTTTATAATCAGTGCCAAGCGCAATTTTATATATTTTGTACTAGTGGGAAATTGTCCCGTTTACTTAATGTAATAATAATAATAAAATATAAGTTTGTCGTTAGAAATATCTTTATTTTGGCCATTTTGGCTCACGCCAATGAATCCGAGCAAATTTTATTTCACGAGACAAATTGCAATTCCTTCTTTTTCACCCGCTTATTTCTTTGACGATCAATTAATTCTGTCGATAATTTGACCGACGCGAGGACGCGATGCGATACTTACGAGGAAGATGAGGGATGGCATCGGCGTCAAGTTGCGGACGTTGATCAGGGCAATGGCAGTGGGGAGATGGCCGTTCCGAGCACCGACGAAAAACAGCCTGGACGATGCGAAAATTGCGCCGTTCAGCGCACCGAAGGTCGAGCACGCCACGAAGAACGGTATGATCCACGACATGACGCCCAGCAGCTTGTCGCCGAAGGTCTAAAAAGAGAAAATTCCGCGATTCAGCGCTGCGCTAGAAAGTGGAGCGGCGTCTCGATTGTACGCGGAAAGCGGAATTACATAATTTTCTCACCGAGCCAGCCGTGCGCATTCGATCAATTTCACCTCTTTCGCGTACGCTAATATTGCAGCTCTATCTTATCATTATTGAAGAAATTGTGCTTTTCTCAATGAGAAATGCGTCGAGAGGATCTTGCATTTCTGTCTTCGTTTATCGTGTATAGCGTTTTTCCAGGAATAAATCGACGCAAATTACTCGCGCGAATCGTGGAGCTTTCTTGCAAATTTTCTCTCCACGCCTTTTCTCCGCGAAAAATTTGATCTTCGTGGTTTTGGTGTGTATCGCATCATCTTTTTATACGTGTACTGAGAAAAAAGTATTTAAGGCCCGATTTTTCATTTTCTGATTAACTTGTGCTTTGGGTGGCTTAACCTGATAATAACGTAAAAATTATATCTTTCTATTCATGGTTAATCATTAAATTTTAAAAGTTCCCACTACAAAACCATCAGCATAATGATTAACCATGAATACACAATTTTTGCGTTATCATCAGTTTAAGTCTCAACCACAAGTTAACCAAAAAATAAAAAAACCGAGTCTAAAAACGGAGGAGAAAATTTGTGAGATATAAGCTTTTTTTCCTAGAAATAAATTTTTAAATGCTTTTTTTCCAGTGTGTATAGTAAGATATACTATTCATTTAATGTTTATAGTTTATAGCTTCGCATTATCATCTCTACAATAAAAGATTATTGACACGAATGCGATTACTTGGCATTAAACTAATTTCGCGTGGATGGATGGCCACGTATAGAATTATTTACAAACATGAACTTACTACAGCGACGGCGTTCGACGCGAGTATCTCGTCTTGCGTGAGTACTACGAAGTAGGCGATATTTGCGAAGACGTAAATTACTGTGACCAGCGGTAACGATATACAGATCGCCCTGGGAAGATTCCTGCAAAAATCCGAGAAGCAACGATTATTACGGTATCTCATGTCTCAAGCTTATCTCCGTCGAGTATCTAACGAGCAAATTGCGTTTTCGCGTGTGTTATCATTGAGTTGATGCAAAAGTTCGTTTCGTTTTTTGACCAAAATATACATGTAACATTTATTTATTTAAAAATACAATCGATCAATTAAATATATCTTTTTGTTCGATAACGTAAAAATTCTGGGATTTCCGAAGCTCGGAATTACTCACTTGTAGGGATCCTTTAGCTCCTCCGTCACGAAGTTGAGGTAATTCCAACCCGAGTAAGAGAACAATCCCGAGTATACGGCTAAGGCGATGTAACCGGGTTGAGTGTTGGTGCCGGACATCGGGTGTTCGAAGTTTTCCGTGTGACCCTTGAAGAACCACCAGAAACCGGCCACCATGATGATCACCAGAGCGAAGATCTTAGTGCCGGTGAAGATATCTTGCACCCTGGTCGCCCACTTGACGTTGTAGCAGTTGATGGCAGTCAAGAGACCTGCGAACGCGACGGAACAAGAATCAGCACGCGTCGTTGTATCTTAACACGTTGACTACCACGTTGACTTTCATTGGTTATCTCAATGCTCAACTTTCAAGCTTGGATCACTAAAGATTCGGTGAATAAGAGCAATTCGCTCCTTCTATCGACTATACCAATAAATGCAACTCACAACGTAACGTTACAATGATGTTATCATTTCCCGCTCAACAATGTAACTGTTATACACAACGCATGTTACGAAGACGGATATTGAGAAGACCGAAGAATGGACAGAATTTTTGAGCTAGTATCACTGAGATTGTTTTGGCGAGCTTTGTCGCGCAAACACTACGAGTGATAATGGGCTTGCACTTGACATATGTTCTTCTGAAGAATGAAACTGGTGAATGAAGAATGAAGAAACTGAAGAATGAAAGCGGTGATATTACAGCGTCGGTCATCGGCAATCCCCATGGCGGTCAATGTGTTGACATCGTCGCAGCAGACAAGGAGACAATCCGATGCGAGTAATGTTTCCGGGCTATATTTAAAAGTCATCGCGTTTTCGAGGATTCGTGATCCCCGCCGCGCGTAGACCTTGCATCGCGGCGCAGCACGTGCGTCGAGATACTTTCGGCCGTCGCGGTAAATGTTCACGATTCGTCATTCAGTATCTATAGCCAATACGGTGCATCCGTTTTGTATTAGCGGGCGGCTCCATGAGATCATGAGGGATGCGGTTCACCAGCCGAACGGCCAAGAAGAGAAAGTCCAGAGATTTGCCGATGTAATCGATAAAAATAATTGGAGGATGAGTCAATAATTACCCGAAATGTTAAGATTGCTCCTTCTTGGCCTAACCAAACGAAGAAACTTGACGAGTCTTCAGGAACAAAGCACGAATATTATAGTCATCTATATACATAGCTATCTCTTGTCAAGTTTCAACACATCAAATTTAACTTAAATTTAAATTATAAAACTCAAATAACGCAAGACATCTCAAAGATATCCCATCCATAGTGTGTCCAAAATATCCTGAGAAATGTCTGAGAACATTCTGAGACGTTCATATCTAGGAAGTTTAGTGTTATCTGAGTAATTATTCACTAATACGCGCGTATAAAATTCTCACGAGTCGATTGCAACGGAATTCTGGTCTTCTCCTGGGCTCTTCCAGTTCTCCCACGTCTTCGTAACTTCGAACAATGTTCATCTTACACGTGACCACGGCGGCCAACAGTCGCACTGCTTCATAGGGCGGAGCGCATCCGGGCCATGCGGGCTGCAGAATGTACTGCGCGAACGTGAGAGCGGTGATGGCGTTGCCCGTTGGCACCAAGACGAACAACGCTACCCAGAGATAGAGGAACGCGGGGAACGGTCCGAAGGCGTCGCTGATGTACGCGTAGTCACCGCCGGATTTCGGGATCATCGTACCTGCGGACACAAGACTTCGTCATCTGCATTTCCGTTGAGTAAACGACGATCGATTTAACACGTGCGTGCGTCGCATCAGTACACTTCGCGATCTCTGAGCCAGCACGCGCGCGAATTCGACTTTGTTCTCGCTCGCGAGACGACCCGTGATGATGCACACAGACAATGTGCGCTTTATCGCGCCCGCCCATTCCGCGTTTTCCGAGATACCGCAGTTTCCCCCCGCTCATTATCCGTGATACCACCGTGTCAGGGCGAATAATTGAGGATTTTTTGGCCCAGTCAAGTCGCTCTAATTTTTCTCTTTGTGTAATCATCATAAACATAAGACAAATTTAAAGAGAAGAACCAATCAGGATATTGCCTTGGGTTTTCCTAGAAGAAGATGGAAGTGATCGTGTAACCTAGATTCAGATCGAGTGACTAGTATTTTAACCAGTCGAATCCTAATTACTTTTTATTACGATCAGAGATTTATCCTTATATATTTCTACAGTACATAAATCTAAAACGATATCCTGATTAGTTCTTCAGTGAAAATTTACATCTCATGTTTACGGTTACAGCAATTCGTGTATGAAAGGCTGTAAAAGCTCACTACACTTATTGTACAAGAGGCGATTCATAAATATCTAAAAAACGAAAAAAATAAACAATTCATCAAGTTGAAATGTATTTATTTTTTACACAATCACTACGAATGGTAGTGAGCCTACATTTAAATAAATATATGTTCTTCTGAAAAGTAAAACTTGCCAACGACAAATAGTAATTTGATATTGCTGTAATCATTTACACTACAAATTCAAGTGTGTAACATGTGTTTACACATTTTGTATAGTCACTTTTTACGCATTTGTAATTTGCACGTGTTCTTCTTCTAATACCGTGGCCCAGGCGTGTAAGGTGACTTTCTCTTACATGCCTGTGGTGCGCGCATGCTGATCATACACAGGCGTATGGGATCCACACAGCTTAACGTCGGTTCCGAACGGCAACGTTTAGAGAGATTATATTAGGCAAGGATACTCTCGGTGGTTTGCCATTGCCTTCCGAGAGGAAACACGAGCGTAAATATTTTGGCTTCTACCGGGATCGAACTCGGGGCCGCTATAGCGTAATATACCAGTGCGCTGTCTGTTATGCCACACTTGTGTTTGTGCTTACACGTGTTACTAGTGTGTAAGTTTACACGCACAAGTGCGCACACAAAAATTACAATTTTATACAGTATTATAAGTATGTAAAAATTACACGTCGATCCAAATATGTAATTTTCACACACTTACTTGTGTAAAATTATAGTATTAATATGCGTACAAATTTTGTAAAAAAAAGACCGCATATAAAATTATACTCGGATTTGCAGTGTTTCGCATCGTTTCAGATACTTCTCAATCGACCCTCGCAGATCCAGCCTAATAGCGCACATCGTGTAACCACTTGCGCAGCAAGACCGCCGGCAATTTCTGTTCTTTCATTTCCCATTCCGCGGTAATGACGAATTAATTACACGTTTTTGCACGCGCAAACTTTCGATCTATCGGCGAGAGGTACACCTCTCGCTTTCATCGCGGTGGTTCGGAGGCATAAATTACCTGCCAACCGTGAAAACAACACGTAGAAAGCAAACGTCCGCTAAGACACCCGTGGAAACTGAAACAATGTTTTCGTTAATTGTAATTATGCAATATGAGCAATTGTGAAACTTGATCGTGCGCACACGCTGGTGTGAAAATTCTTAAGTTCAACGGGCCGTCGATACTTCTACTCTCATTGAATTTCATAATTATAATCAACACGCGAGATAATTTACATAAGTATCGTTACGTCCATAAAGGCCGTATCACTCGAAGATAATGCAAGTGAAAATATTTTCAAGGACGCATCATTTGTGATAAATAAAATATTTCGAAATCACATATCATTGATGATTAAACTGAAGTTGACATTTTAAAACTTTCCGCTTGATACCTTTAAAATGCGACATGTCAAAAATTTTGACGCTGAAAACATTCGATGTTGAAAGCGGAATAGTGATAATTTGATGTAAGCGGTATACCACTCGAGTCATATGATCGTTGAAATATGATTACACCGTCATTGATACACTTTGATCTTTGGCAACGCGGGACATTTCGCTCTCAACTATCACCACATATCGAGGCCATTGTTGTGCATTTATCGAACTGTCATTAATGTAATAATCGTTAATGCTAATTACGTCGATGTATTATGCGCTAGTAACACTTAAGTGCATAAGATATTTACATCAAATTAAAATTATTTCAAAACATTAAAAGTTGTATTATTAAAAAATTATTAAAAATTATATTATTAAAAATTGTATGTAGTAAAATATATATCATGAGGAAGGAGACTCTCTCTCTCTCTCTCTTTCTCACTAACCAGCCGAGTTTAAGCACCGGAAAATTAACGAAATAAAAAGCACCCATATCTTACATCAACGAATTTTGAAGAGTTCCGGTATTTGGAACATGAGCAATATATGATTTCGCGACAAAAGTGCGGCATCTTCTATCAACGCAAATAAGGAGAAAATATACGCGGTAGATAAAGTGAGATTGAGAGATAAGGAGGAAGGAAACGGTACGCGAGTGTGGCAACGAATTTGTAGAAATTATTCAACCCACGAATAATAAAGTGCAACGGACACTCCATTCTCCGAACAGAGCCAGCGAAATTTATGTTCAATTTTCTGTCAGCGACAAAATATATAGTCTCAATGAAAATTCAGAATAACGAAAACATGTGTCAGTAAAACAATTCAAAGCGGAGCGCAATTCCGTCAAGGCGACTTCCTAAGAATATCCGAATGTCGACATTACTTTTCGTGTTTTTTCCAGTTAATTCTTGCTCGAAACTACACTGAGTTCTATTTTTGTCTCATCAATACCACGATATTTTAATAATCATATCACGTTCGTCTTGTTATTGTAAAGTCGTGCTTACAACTTTCAGATCAACATATTTTTCTGCCTTCAATGAAGAAAGTTGGAAACAAAAATCGGACAAACGAAATAAAGCAGCCACTTTTGAAATTCGAGAATATCTTACATGAGATTGTCGTATCGTATCCTCCGTTTGTTAAAAATTTACATCCGAGCTCGGAAGACGCTCAATATTTGAATTTTTTTCTGACCACATTATTAACTTCATGAAAATGTCTTTTTGAAAAATGATTCTTCATATTTTTATTTATATGTTACATGAAGCTCATTATAAGAAAATGTAACGCTATTATACCGCTCCGTAAAACTCGTCATTGCTAATCGGCACCGAGTAACGCCGATTAACAACGTTATACCAATATTATAATTTCTCACTCAACAATGTAACTGTCACATATATATTACACTTGTATTATTGAGTGGGAAATCTTAATATTTATAACGTTACTGTTAATGTTTACTGGGTATCCAAAATATTTCGGGAACAATTTAGCTGCAGTTTAACATAGATTTTCTTAGTAAAATTATCTAATCTTCGCCGTAGTGTTTTTTTTCATATCTATTATAGTTCTTTTTTATAAACGAAATAAGACATTTTTAGCGAATAGATCGGACTTTTGACTTGAAATGTTAATAACTTTATTAAAAATTAATATTTTTACAAATAGCCATGACGAGGATCAGTTAATCTTATTAAGAATACCTATACGTAGGATCAGTTAATCTTATTAAGAATACCTATACGAAACTACAGCTAAATCTATCCAATAATTTCCGAGATATTTTTGATTAGCGATGAGGAGTTTCACCGAAACGGTAACGATAGTACCGACGTCATATATCACAATTTTTTTAACGAGCTTTACGTAATACGTAAGTAAAAGTATAAAGAATCACCGCTCAACAGAGCGTTTTCGTAAAGTCAATGAAGGTCAAAGAGGTATATGTAATCGCTCGACGTAGAATGAAACATCCTTCAAAAAAATCCTCTCATTATCCTACAGTATTAATCTTAATATTAATAATAATGAAAAACAAAATCGGATATTCCTTCTCTGCTCAGTATTTTGGAAGCGGGCACATAGGCGTCTCGGAGCTGTCACGTCGCTATCTGTGAAGCGCGCGATTCGAAAGTTTCCGGCGCAGGTGAGCCCCGGTAATAAGGGTTTCATCACCTACCTAGCTCGGCATAGCACAGGGCGCCGATGAGCGACAAGATCCCGGAGAAGATCCAAATGATAAGAGCCTGGCCGACGCTGCCGCTGTTTTCGAGGACGCCTTTCGGCGAGACGAAGATACCGGCGCCGACGATGATGCCGACGATGATCGCCACTCCGTCCAGCAGGCCGAGCTCTTTCTTCAGCTTGACACCTTCCTCGCTCTGGTCGTCGTCTCTCGCTGTTCCCACGGAGACCGGTCGCAGGACCTTCTCCGCTGGCGCTACCTTGTCCGGCATCTTCTCGCGTGGCCGATGCACGTGGTCGAGAGCGTCCCTCGTCAAAGTTCGCACGTGCAGCTGTCACAGGAACGTCCACGCGATGCCTCGGTCGGATACAGTCTGTCGCGTCCGCATTACCGAAGGCGCGCGCGCGCTCGCGAGATTCCCGGTGCAACGTGTTCGCACACGTGGATAGGTAAAGAGAAGTGCGAAGAAAACGGTGTAAAAAGCGCGACGAGAAGGGGAGGACGCGGCACTACGGCGCTTCACACACCAGCGGGCACACACGTGCGCGACTGCGTTCGATCGAACCGTATGGCCCGTTCGCCGATACCTCACTGCCCGCTCTTTCTCTGCGCACGCTCTGCCTGCGCACAGTGCCGCGCCGCGCCGTTGCCGCGCCGGTAGCACGCCGAGCTTTACCCTCTGCGGCGACGCGCCGCCGATCCGTCCACCACCGATCGAACAGGCGCGACCGCCCAGTGGCGCGGACACGTCCGTGCCGACCTGCGATTCAATCGCCGCATCGGCTTCCGGAGGAAGTCTCGGCAACACGATGATCTCCCCGCTACATCGGGAGGGATATCAAGACCCCGTGCGTCCGACGACTATGCCTCCTGGGTCAAGAGCGACCGTCGTCCGGGTCGTTAAAACGCAGTAAACCGCATTCCCGGTGACTGCGAAAGTGGCGAATCAATCTTGATGACAATTCGCACAGCCTTCTCCGAAAGGTGTGATTTTTCGTCGAGTCAGCGCCGGGGCTCTTCTTTCGGTCGCTCGTCAGCGAAGATCCCCGAGTCTGCTGAACAAGCGAATAAAAGAGGCGCGTTTGAGAAGACGGAAGCGTGCTCGAAATTCTTGCGAAAGCGACTCGGACACTCACTCGTAGTCGTGCACGGCGACGTTCCGCGACCGCCTGACGTCGCTTCCTCCGGGGTTTCGTCACCGTGCGTCCTTCATTCCGACGCCAATGACCTCACCTGGGTTCTTACGGATCTCGGACGTTCGTTGCATCATTCGCCAGGCGCTCGGGGCGAAAAGCACACCTGCGAAAACAGAAGTATCGCGCGAGACGAGCGGATAAAGGCGAATGTTTATCAAAGTGGTACGCGATCGACAATCGAGCGGAAATTGGCAGAGATCGCGGACGCTGAAATCAATTAGACTCGTACATGGAGACGTACGCAAATTAACAGATGTATTTGCTCTCTCGGCTTTCTTTCCCGCCGATATTGACAATCGGATTATCCCGTAATGTTAACGCTAACATTCACTCGCGTTATCGCGTCTCACGCTGGTCGCGAGCCGCTTATCGTGCAACGCCTTTTCCTGCGGGCCGTGGAAGAATTCTCGTCGCGAAAGCGATACCGTCTCGCTACGTAACGGGAGTTCTTTCGAGTTCTCGCTCTGCCCGAAGCTCCGCGCTCTCAGCAAACATCCGTGAACAGCCATGATAAGGCGAAACGGCGAAAAGACGAAGGCGTCCCGAGCGGGGACGGTCGCATGACGGGTTCCCGGAATGGCGTTGAATCAATCCCATCGCCGGAGTAACAGGGCGATTTCCGTGACGAATCGCAGAGGAGGCCCATTTCGGCGGCGCATTTCGGCGTCTCGCGAAGATCGCCGTGTCGGTCGCGGCGCAAGCCGCCGCTGACGAAAGTGGCTCATATCGTTGGCGTCATCTCGCCGTAGCGCCGGCCGGGAAGTCGGTCCTCTCGCGATCTCACGCGGTGCGAGTGCGTTACCGGAGTTAGCGATACTAAAGCACGTCACGTCCGAGCGATCCCGAGAGCACGCATCACCTTCGCCATTGGCGCGCGCGCGGCTCTGAAAGGGTCGCCGCGAATTAACGCGACGAAACGCTCGTCGTCGGGCTCGAATACGATGAAACGGGGAAAAGGGAGAAATGTCGCTTCCGAGATCTCGGGGAAATGTTGTTCACTATCTCTCTCTCTCTCCCGGTCGACGAAAGCCGTTGCTGGCCGCTCGAGGATTATCGCGAAGTTCATCGAGGGGACTTCTCGTGAGCCGGGCTACTCGTGATAACAGAGCATAATGCTTGTGATAACGTATTCCGACGGAGCAAGCTTCTCTACGCCAATGCCGCCGCACGTCCGTCCGTTCTGTCAGTGCCGCGCAACCTTCTCGTCATTATCATTGCATTATCATCGCGCGATCGTCTCCGTGTGCGTAGGTCGTACGTAGGTTTTACTTACGAAATGCGGGCAAATCGCTGTGCCGATTCAACCAGCAGCAGAGCTTCTCGCGCCGCGTTTCTACCAATACGGGCCGTTTCGCGGTTTTCGCCCGCGCACCGCGCGTTCGCATCGGTCCGCCTCCGTTGTTTGAATTTACGTAATTAAATAAACTGCATTTTAAATATAACGATACAAGCGCGAACATATCTTCAACACGCCTCTTCTCTTTCATTTTCTGCAACGAAAAATATTTATTTCAGCACTCACAATAGAGTTTTCAACAATGGTTTCATTAGTTATATTCTTCTGATTTCTACACTTTCTACGTTTTTTTGTAACTTTCCTCTTTATTCTTCTGTAGATATATAAATTGGAAGAGACTCACCATATGCGATGTTACATCCTGTGTCGAGAGTCAGATTTGTCAAGACAGATCTTGTAAAATTGTTGTGTTTGCTGTATACTTCATCGCTATCTTGATAGTGGTAATACAACAGAACCTGATAACAGAGTATGATAGTAGCTTAGCAATGGAGACTAAACAGGATCTATCATTCCACAATGACAGAAGTGATTAAATATAATAGAACTACTTGGTGTATAATAAAACTACTTGCTTTCTGCTATCTAGTCTTATCGACAGATCGTCAGCAAGTCTAAAGGGCAAGTCACACTAGCGATTGTCGATTGAATTGCGATTGCCAATTATAAAATAAAGCATTTTCTAAATGGCTGTCACTAATCTCAATCAATACCTGCTGCGCTCTGAATCAGTTGAACAGTAATCGCCAATCGCAAGTCAATCGGTAATTACTAGTGTAATTTGGCCTTAACGCGGACATTATCGATGTCCGATTTAACTCAATATTCAACGTGTAGTAATATCGTACCTGATAAATGACACGAATGTTATCTTTCTATTACTTTCATGGACGACGCGACGACATCCCGCGAGGGGAATTCGCGGTTTGAGCGCCACTGCCATGTCAGGCTTCCGCCGCGCGTGTTTCTCCCCTTTCTAATCCACCTCGCACGACTCCTGGTGTCCATATAAAAATAATTTTTGACGCCAACGCGAAATGCATGGCGATCGGCGAAAAGCAGTGTGATTGAGATCGCTGAAATCTGGAAACAATTCGCTCAACGTTTTCTCGGTCGACTGAACAAGTTGGTCAACACTAACATGACGGATCGACCGTCAGTGAAGCGAGGTAACCTAATTTCGAGTGTTACGAGCTCAAGAAAATCTTCGTCATTAAAACAGCAATTCGAGATGGTGAAATAAATTAATTACCACAGAGAACAACGTGGTATAATCGACATGTTAATTGATTGCACGGCGCAGTTAGCAATTGTTATCGCGATGTTTTCTTGAAATGATGGATCGACCGTGCCGCAAACCAATTTACATAATTAGCGTTAAACAGCCTGTGCCATCAATCACTCGAAATGCGCGCGTTAACTCTTGATATCGCGTATTTTCCTCGATTTCATGATTAAATTTTACCTATCCCCGCTACCTCTCAGATCGTTGCAAATAGTTCGGTTTCCGTGTCCTGAAGAGCAAGATTGCAACTTCGTTATTTTTTCTTTCGCTAATTTACATACTTGTCTCGCTCTAACGGTAAATAACGCAACCTAGTTCAGGAATCAGGAGTAAAAAATAGAAGTAAAATGGTCGACTGAAAAACAACTGTATGTAACGGTCCGATTTGAATTTTCCGAATAGACCGTTACAAGCGCCCGTCGCGAGGTGTCGCCACCTACCGGAGGCGAACTCGCTGCCATCTGCGGGCGGAGTGAGACACCGCGAGAGCGATCAACTGACTCGACAATGCGCAAACGTCAAACACGCATTCGGAACACGCAGGATCGCAAGCGTAAATATTGCTTTTTTGAAATTGCAACATCGTACGGCGAGGATGAACAACGTTGAGATCGAGGACTTCTATCATCACGATTTCACAACTGCCTCCGAATGGGAAGTGTTCATCGCGCGTTTGGAGGAGATCATGCACGAATGGAAATTGCCCCATACGAAGATCGCGGGCTCCCTTCAGCCGGGGGATTTTGTCAACTGTCAGTGGCACGAGGCCTCGGAGAAGCTGCACTTTGCAGGTTCGTGTCTCTAATGTGACTCAACGGACAGTCCATTCGAGATTTCACTGTCACAAGTTTGTAACCCGCCAGTGTGTGCATTTTTGCAAATTCATTGGTTCAGTATGAGGCACATATGGCAAGATGTGAATTTTACACACTGCTATGTTCATTTATCTCTTACACGGTTCCCCTGTTGTAACAATTACACGTTATTAGACGTAGAATTCCTGCTGAAGCACTACAAGCTACTGAAGGAAGATGAAAAGGAAGATACAGCTAGTCCCTTGGAAGAACGCGAGGAGGAATGGACGCAGTGTCAGAAGGACATCTTGGACATATCCAATGACTTTGTGAGGCTCGATGACAACTGCATGGAGATAACTCGTTATTACGGCTGCAGGGAATTTCTTGTTTTAATACCGGCAAAGAAGGGAAGCTTAACAGATGAGACTCGAATTAAGATCTTGCTTAGTTCACTGACAATTGCAGCCAACAATGCGAGTTGGTAAGTATTGCTAAGTCCATGTACACAATAAGTGCTTTAAGTCCTGAGGCTTAAGAAATTCATCAATCACAGTCGATTATTCTCATCACATTCAACTGTGATTCGACTCCGGTCAATTTCTTAAAATTTAAAGCTTAAAACATTTATTGTCGACTGGCACTAATACTCATATATCTGAATTACATTTGTGATGTGAGAAACTATTCAAATTTGTCTGTGCATTTTAGTTACATCCCCGCATTCGTGCAGGTGCAGGAGCCTTGGCAGAATATGTATCTGGGAGGTTGCGCTGGTAAAGGAACCTGTGTGCATCTTGACATGGTGCACTTGAAGAAGATACCGTCGCATTGCAAATATCTTACTGGTATGTATTTCTGCATGTCCTCAGTCGATCTAATTGCTGCTGCTTGTAGTAACTATATTGTAATTATTTGCAGGTCTGCTTGCTCTGTTCAAGCAGAAAGTCCGGGAAGGTTGCGCAGTGAGACTTGACACTGTGATGGTATCTGCTAGATTTTCTTACCTATTGAAGGACTGGACGAACAGCACGTGGACGCAGGAACCTCCGGATTTCGATTTCATGCAGGGGGAAACATTAGGCGTGGCCGAATTGGGCAAGCTTCCCTTTGGCGCAACTTTTGATCCCGTCGGGTACGTGAAACAAATATATTACTGAAAGAATATCAACGAGTTACAAAATACCTTTTATGCTCATTTCTGCCATCAATGGTTTAAATTTAATTGATTATTAACTCAAAGGAATTGACCGGTTGGATTGGCAAATTAGCTGAATTGATCAATGCGATTGGCCAATTCTGTTGAGTTAATCGTCGATTAGATTTAAACTATAATAGTAGAAACGGACATTATTCCTTCATACAATGATTACAGGGAGCTTCATCTATTCACTACATGGCCGGAGATGCCGGATAGCGTCGTCGTGGACAGCGAAGGGTTCTCTGATCTGGAGCCGCAGCTCGCTCCCGAATGGTCGGTACTGGTGAAAATGGTGTCGTCGCCGGCCTGTTTGCTCGGTGAATATATGACGGATTTTCTGCACCTTTGCAACAATCAGAAGACGATGGTGGAGCTGTTGGGTGAGAACGCGTCCTACATCCATAGTGATGATCAAATGTTGAGCTCGGCCTTCAACGCCCTCACCGAGTCCAGAATACCCATGATCTCGACGGTCATGGGCAGGGCCAGCTCGAAGAAAAACAAGAATGTGGAGGGTCCGATCTCCGAGGAAATACTATTGCCTATACTTTACTTTCTCTTCCCAGACGCGGAGGATAATTCGGTATGTTGAAAGAATTGGAAAGACGGTGATGGAACAAAACCCCGGTGACTATTGTATTGTAGTGCTATTTTAAATATTAATATTGCTAGTAAATATTAATATTGATAGTAGGAGAATAAAATTTATTCATTGTGTACAGCGAACGTGTACACAAACGTTATCGGACAAACAAACAAATAATCGCCTTTCCATAAATAAATCGAGTCTTGAGTCTCAGTATTATTTTTTTATAACTAAAAATCCCCTAAGTAACTTTTTTTTAAATCTGTTGCTAAATATATTAGTAAGCAATTATTGACTCTAACGTCATGTGCGATCATATTCTCCCATTATCCATATTAATACTAACAATATTAATATTTAAGATAGCACTAAATCACCCGTGATTTGCTCCATCACGACTTTTCAATAATTTTTCACTTGATATTACCAATAAGGAGTATTCTTAATTCGGTACGCTTAGTTTCTTAACGATTTCAAAACCAATTAATGCAAAATATTACACTATTCTGCTTTCCTAAATATTCTTATGATAATTAAAACTGCTGATTTTTTTTGCTTTTTCGTAAAAAAAAATCATTTCAAGGTACGAATGTTATCGGTAATCATAGATTCAAATTGTTCGCAGAAATTCCCCTACGGCGACATCAGCGTGTGTAATGTGGATGACGACCAGTGGAAAGGCGTAAAGACGTGCGCGATGGATAGTCTTGTGTGGCGTTTATCGGTCGTCGCAGCGCATTGCGCACACAATCTGGGTGGTGCGACGGCCTTGGCTCAGCTTTGGCATGAATTCGTGCAGGAGATCAGGTTCCGTTGGGAGAGGAATATCCTGATACCGGGGTGAGTAGTAGCGAAGGTCTTTTTATTTGTCGTTGTCGGTACGCCAAGGACGACGAGTCGTTCTCGTCGTCGACGGCGAGACGCGCACGAACGAATACGACGTGCGAGTATATGTGTTACAAAATAAGATAGAAGGGAGTCTCCTCTCGCCTCGCCTCCGTGAGCGATCGGGAGTGACGTCGTTCTCAGGATATGTCGGTAGACGCTTGGTCGCGGTGGCGTTCCTCCGGAGACAGACACTTCGATGTCGCAGTCTTTGGGTAGAGAATCGCCGAGTCCGTCGTGCGAAGTGTCGCGCCACGATTAGGATCCGGAAACCGTGCCGGAACTCGAGCCGGCCGAGAGCGCTCATCCGCTTTGTTGACGATCCGGTAATGAAGTGATATACTTACGTAGGGTTTGCTTAGAACTACATAGGGACGTACAGAGTGTTACATTAATGTACAGGTCAGTATGATGGATTCACGCAGAGAATTTTTCTCGAAGGCATGAACACTCATGAACTGAAAAATTACACAGAATAAAAGTGTTAGATTCAAGTGATTCAAATAATTATTCCGATACTCCTTAGCAAATTTTTATTTGGATTAAGTAAATTTTACTTGGATCAAGTAAATATTTTACCTGGATAATAACTTGGGAAATATTTTATTTGGATCAAATAAATATTATTTGACCCAAGTAGAAAATTTGCGGAGTATTGGAATAATTATTTATTTGAATCTAGCACTTTTTCTGTGTACCATAGCAGTTTTGCTCGATTAGGATATACTTATAACGTCGAAACAATTTTAAAGCAGTATGAAAAATTGTGAAAAAGCAACGTAAACAAAATAAAATATTAGTGAAATATTTACTTGATAAATAATATATGTATATATATATATATATAGATAAGTTATAATTTATAATGTTAAATAATATAAAATTTATTATTTATAATTGTATTTAAATTTTTATTTTTAATATTTATTTAAAATGCATCAATATGGGACATTTTTCCTTTCTGATATTTCCTTGTACGCATGGTAAATTTATATATAATCGGGTAAAAAAATATATCTGATCAAACTATTCGTTTATTACTGTCATATATAAATTTTGGTTTCGGTATGAGTATATCCTAGTGTCGCGCATTACAAATCTAGTGAATTATATTATTAGTATGCTACATTACTCAATAAAAATTTTCTGCGTGTTGCTTTACTTTCCTTCCTGGCAGATTCGTACACTCAGACTACCATTCAGCACGATATAGTCGTTTGCACAATAGTTTGCACTTATTTTTTCTGGTGAAAAAATGTGAAAAGGTAGTTTAAAGTAGTGAAAACGTGTTCCGTTAACAAATTTTTCATATATAATTATATACAATTAGATATAATTAAGCATATAATTATATATAAGACATCATGTATGAAATTTATCCATATATAAAGATATATAATTATATACAAAGTGATGATATAGGGTTATATATGATCATATATAAATATATATATATGCATATATATAATAAATTATATATGATTATATATAAACATATATATTGTGATACATAGTCACATATATAAATATATACTTTTATATATGGATATGTTCTATACACAATTATACGTGAGAAATATTTTAACGGAGTGTGCCGCTAAGTTCGTGCGCCTGCCGATGAGGCGAATAGGCAACCTGTTGTACTGATCTGCATGTTGACGCAGCATCCTGTACATATACTTAAGGCCGGTTCTCGGCCCGAGAACTCGCGTTCGCGCGAGCATTACACGGTAATGCCTGCCGCGATGTTAACGATCAATGTTCGCAATTGGAGCCAGGCAATCTTCGAACATGCTAAACGCCGAAGAGATGTTCTCTCGAGCTATTAAATCTATTTATCTATCGATCTACCTACCTATCTAAGAACCCTAACAGTAGATTGGGGTACTGCAGCACTTGACTTATTTGAAACAAAGTCGTACAAAGATACGTTATTGCCATTGTAACGAACGTTTCCCCGACACTCGACGCGTTCGAGACTCTCCGTCCCAGAACGGTCGTTGGGATTGTCTCGACTTCGCTGGGCGTCGCTCCAGCTTAGAACGCAGAACGAACAGTCGCGCGACTCCGACCGGCGTTCCACTGAACACGCTTGAGCAAGAATGAACGACAAGATCTCGAGACCACTGGTGTCCCGAAGCGTCAAACTTTAGAGCGGCACGAGGCCGCTCCTCGTGGTGGGGTTGCGAGCCATGTAGATGTCCATGTCGTGGTCGGTCCAGTTGTTCTCGTCGTAATTGTTGAGCGTGTGCGTGGAGTCTGCCAGGCTGTACCGGCTGCCGGGTCGTGGCGGGTTAGGTTCCAGGGTGCGGTTGCGGGAACGAGGTCGTTGCCGCCTGGCGGACGAGTGCGGCGGTAGGTGGTTGGTGGAGAAGTTCGACCGGGACATTCGGTCCGAGGCAGCTGCGAGCGACTGGCGCGATTGTCGCAGTTCTGTGTGACGGGGGGAATTGGTTATTGAAGCAAGCGAAAGTGTCGCGTTACCAATTGGTTTGTTCTTTCTCGCCGAACTGGCTGCACTAACTCGTGCTCTTCTACCGCCTACCAAGGCTGAATTTAGTTTATAAGAACCAGCAATTCCGTTTTCGCTTCAACCAAGGCGCTTTTGATCTGTTCATAGTCAAGTCAGTATAAATTCAGCCAAATTTTGTTCCGTGCAGTTCAGCGAGAAAGAATGGATGCCTGATGTAGGACTGCGATTAGGCTGCAAACGACCAAAAGCCGTATTTTATGATGATGTGATGGGCATCGACCGACCTGGTCTTGTGCTGACGAGATTGGAAGCCAACGCGGTGTTGGCGAAATACCGCGTGGAGTTGTTGGAAAAACTGTGCTGGGACTGGCCGTCGGCGATCGACCGGGTGGACACTTTACCGCTGTAGTGTCCGGCCTGGGAGCGCACGTCATCGATGCAGGACGCTCTGGTGATCGATCCTTAGAATACGGTCCGCGTGAGTCGCAAAATGTCAACTGGGAAAGCCCGGAGGCTTTCTTCTGTCTTACCTTGCCGATCTATCGGGAAGATCCTCGGCCGCGGTATGCTCCTGTTGCTGTACGCCGACACCTGGTCCCATTCCTTCTGAGCGTTGTAGGCGCTCAACGTGGCCATCGACGACAGAGGCCCGCCGGGACTGGGTGTCGGGCCCACGTTCGAGCAGCAGTTGACAGGCAGACCGGCGATCGGGCCGCCCATCTTCGTCTGGTCGATGCTGTGCAACGTGTGTAGCTTCCGAGCGCGACGCCGGTTCGCCACCACGAAGATGATCACCGCCACAACGATCGTGGCGCAGATCGCTGCGCTCGCAGCGATCGTGATCTTGTCCATGTTCGAGGTCGGGGAGTTCTCCGTCCTGACCTCGCGGCATTGGTTGTACGGCACGTTCGCCGGCGTGATGTTGGTCTCCTCCAGTGAGACCACGCAAACCACGATGCACTCCTGCGATATCAATCAGTAGGGAGAGTCGAGAGACTTGACGATGAAGTTACGCAGAGTCAGGCAATTGCGTATTATATTACGGGAATAGGAATGTCAATATCTGGCTGATGAGAGCCAAGTCGTTGTTTTTAGGGCGTGATGATTTATTAAAATATAACTTTAACAACAGCGATTTCACTCTCATAGGCTAGATATGACATTCCCTTTTTTGTAATTTCCGGAGTTATATATTTCATTAAACTATTGTCACCTTTTTGATATTTTCGAGAAGTAAAAATATTCTATCAACGATTAGATGAAGAATGGAGGAAGCGTCACGTTTGCAGAAAAGATACTCGAAGTGACGACCATCGGTGCATCGATGCAATTTCTGTCGGATAAATTTTTCTCCTACTCTCTAAATTTATTAGAACGGATCTCATTGAATACAAGTGGCAGTATTTTCACTCGAAACGATAGTGAAAATATTACTGCTCGAAATCATAAATATGAATGTTTCGCTCAAGCTTAGAGTGAATTCTGATTCCATGCGGGTGAATTTTTCAATCGATTAGAGCGAATTTGTTCTTGTGACGATAGAATATATCAGATTCACTCTTCAGTTTCGAGTGAAAATGTTCACTCGACGATTTAGAGCGGAGAATAGACTGTGTACGAGTGAAAAATCACTCGAGTCTCAGTGACTCGGCTGCCACTATACTTTTCAAGTGAAATTCTATTCCAAGAAGTTTAGACGGTACTCTCATACTTCGAAGGTATTTGAAATGGTGATAGTTATTGCCTCACATTGTATATACAGTTAGCCCTCGACATACATAGATCCGATACACGTAGACCCGTAATTACATAGAAATTTCTAACTCAACGTTTAACCAAGCATGGGAGAGATTCACTTTTCTCACTTTTCCTCACTTATTTAGAAATACCTCATTTTTTCGCACTTTTATGAAGAATTTCACTTTTTTCTTATTCGATTTAAGTCTTTAAAAAATCCCGGTCAAGAAATTATGTTCAATGACTCTAGTTTTTTTTTAAACAAAACAAAAAATTCAAAGAAAATAAGGATGACTTTGACAACACAATGTTTATAAAATGCAGGACTATGATTTTATTTTCTTTTTAATCTTAAAAAAGCTCAACTGGATTTAAATATTGTTTTTATTAAGCGAAATGTTTTTATTGATTTTTTTAATTTTGTTAAATATTGATTGTTAAATATTGATTTTATTAAACGAATTGAAATTTTATTTCATTAAACGTGTTTGAAAAAATCATGAAGAATCTAATCTTTATGATATAATAATATAAAATTCTGTTTTTTGTGAGGAATTTTATTGTATCTGAATATATGCCCAAGACCGAGTTTAAAATCAATTATAGGTTCTGTGCACGTTATGTAACTTCTTTTGTTCCTCAAATTTTGCTCTTCACTTTTATTATGAGGTCAGTGTTTTTAATCTCTTAGAGGAATGATATGATAGACAAACAATCGAAGCAACTCTACGAGATCAATATGTGA